GAGAGGGCGGAGGGAGGGGGAGAATGGCGAAGTGGATGGATGGATGTGTGTGTGTGTGTGTGTGTGTCGTTGGTAGGATAAGCACAACATGCGGAATCACTTTGGTGTGAAAGACGAGTGGTGTGACCCCTTGAGGTTCAAAGTCGTGCCAATCATCGATATCCCTGGGTGAGGGAGGGAGGGAGTGACCGTGGGCAACACACACACACACACACACACATCCGACGTGACTGACGTGTGCAGCTATGGCGACCAGGCCGCCGTCAAGCTGTACCACGACAAGAAGATCCAGTCGCAGAAGGACAAAGTCAAGCTCGCGGTCCGTCCCCAGCACACCACCGACTCACACCCACCCCACTCATCCATCCACGCCTTTGTGTGTGTGAATGGTATGAGCAATGCAGGAGGCCAAGGAAGAGGTCTACAAGAAGGGCTTTTACGAGGGCGTCATGTTGGTGGGAAACCATGCCGGCAAGAAGGTCGAGGAGGCGAAGAACCTCGTGAGAAAGGAGCTCATAGACAGGTGGGTGGGCTTCCCACACACACAGAACAGAACTGATCACCACACACACATCCATCCATCCATCCATCTTTGCCGCCAGTGGTGACGCCGTGCCTTACTTCGAGCCCGAGAAGCCGGTTATGTCACGCTCAGGTGATGACTGCGTCGTCGCGCTCTGCGACCAAGTGAGCACACCGACCCTTACACACCACTCGCACCCCACACACACCCCACAAACACACGTGTGTATGTGGGCGTCTCCCCTCCCTGCCTCCCTCCCTCCCCATTGGTTCATGCAGTGGTACCTCGACTATGGCGAGGACTCTTGGCGCACATCCGTGGAGAGCCACGTGTCGTCCCCCGGGACCTTCAACGCCTTCAACGCCCTCGGGCACTTCAGGGCGGTGCTGAGCTGGTTGTGTCAGTGGGCGTGCAGCCGGAACTATGGGCTGGGGAGCTTCCTGCCGTGGGACGACAAGGTGCCGGCGGATTGGGGTGATGGACTGGACGTGCATCTCTCTCTGTGTCTGTCTAAGTGCGTGTGTGGCTGTCACTCAGGTGGTGATTGAGTCCCTCTCTGACAGCACCATCTACATGGCCTACTACACCATCGCACACATGCTACACGTACACACACACACACACACGCACAGCCGGGCCACACAAATCAGAGAAGGAGGAGGACACACTCTGGAGATGTGTGTGTGTGTGTGTGTGTGTTTGTCAGGGCGACACGTCAAACCTGGATGGGTCGAAGCCGAGCCCCGCGAGCGTCAAGGCCGACCAGCTCACCGACGAGGTCTTCGACTACATCTTCCTGCAAACAGACACACCGCCACAAAACACGTCCATCCCCACAGACAAACTAGACGTCAGCAGGCAGAACAGAACACGCCTGTGGCCACCATACCATTTGCATGCCCACCTCTGTGTCTGTGTCTGTGTCCCATCAGCTGATGCGTCGTGAGTTTGCGTATTGGTATCCGATGGACCTGCGGTGTTCGGGCAAGGACCTGATCAACAACCACCTCACCATGGCACTCTACAACCACGCAGCCATCTGGGACAAACGCCCTGACCTCTGGCCGAAGTAGGACAATGCGCCGCGCCATCCCTCTCGTCCCGTGGTGTGTGTGTATGTGTCTGCATGTGTTGGCAGGGCGTTCTTCACGAACGGCCACGTGATGGTGGACAACGAGAAGATGTCCAAGTCTGTGGGCAACTTCCTGACCCTCAAGCAGTCGGTCGAGGAGTTCACCGCCGACGCCACGCGACTCGCACTGGCTGACGCGGGAGACGCACTCGAAGACGCCAACTTTCAAAGGTCGTTTCGCATGGCATGAAGAGGGGAAGAGCTGAGCTGCCTTAGTCCATGAGTGTGTGCGTGTGTGTGTATGTGTGTGTGTGCAGGAAGGTTGCCGAGACGGCGCTCCTCCGTCTTTGGAATTTCGAGCAGTTCGTTGCCGAGACCGTCAAGAGGCGTGACGACCTGAGGTACAAACACACACGCACAAACACACACACACACCCAGAACACGCACTCATCCACATGGACGGATGGATGTGTGTGTGCAGGAGTGGCCCCAAGACGTTCGTTGATGAGATGCTCATCAACGAGCTCAAGATCCTGGTCAACGACGCGCGGAAATCCTACGCCGGGTTGGTGTACCGCGAGGCCCTGCGGTGCTCCTTCTACGACATGCAGGCCATGCGCGACGCGTACAAGACGCTCGTGGGCAACGAGGACATGCACCGGGAGGCCATTCAGCTGTGGATGGGTTAGACTGACGGCAAAGAAAAGCGGCCAGACAGTGAGTGCATGGGCGTGTGTGTGTGTGTGTGTTTTCAGAGTGGCATGTGTTGGCCTTGTCGCCGATCTGCCCCCATATCTGCGAGCACATCTGGACAAACATCCTCACGAAGCCCAACCTCATCGTCAGGGAGCCCTGGCCCACCTTCTCGCCCCCTGACCCAATCATGCACCGGTCGGTACACGGAGACACACACCACCACGCACCAATCCAATCCATGGCACGATCGATGTGTGTAATGATTAATGTGTGTGTTCAGCAAGTACGCGACGCTCAAGCGGAGCCTCGAAGACTTCCGGAAGATGCGCGAGAAGGCCGAGAAGACCAACCAAAAGTCCAAGAACACCGAACCACTCAACAAAGCGGTGGGCAGGCATCACACATGACATGACTGAATGAGCCGTCTCACTCACGTGTGTCTGTCGTTTGGCCGTCATGTCAGGTGATCTACGTGGCGAGCGAGTACCTGGGTTGGCAGCAGCAGGTGCTGCAGGTGCTGCAGACCATCCCTCTGGACCAGAACAGCAAGCCCCCGCCGCCCAAGGAGTACATGGAGATCCTCAAGAACAGCCCGGCCCTCCAGGCCTTCGAGAAGAAGCTGCTCAAGGACGCCCTGAGCTTTGCGGACTTCCAAATGAAGGTGGGCAGACGGACAGACACATGTGTGATGTGCTGCTGTCCTTCTCTGTGGTTCATTCAGGAGGTGCATGAGCGTGGCCCCGACGCCCTGGACCTCAACCTGCCATTCGACGAGAGGGTCAGTGAGTGGACTCAGGCGGGATGCTGGGGTGGATGTGCGGATTGCGTGTGTGTCTGTGTGTGTGTGTGTGTTGTGTGCAGGAGCTGCTGCTGAGCTTCAAGGACTACATCTCGTCGTCACTCAAAGTAGAGGGTGAGCGAGCCACCGCACCACACCACACCACACGACACACACGACAGTGAGGCTGGCTGTCGTGTGTGTCGTATGGGTCCTGCAGACATCGAAGTGGTTGATTCGGGAAGCACCCACCCCTCCGACTCATCGGACAAGTAAGCACCACTAGAGATGAAGGTGAGGTGGCGCCATCCATCTGTCGTGTGTCCGTCCATGTGGCTGCAGGCGTCTGCAAGCGGTGCCCTCCCGGCCTGTGGTGCACTTCTACTCCGGCGCCGGCGCGTGAACATGGATGCGGTCATGCTTTGCGTGACCGGATGGAAGGGTCGCTGCAGCCTGCGACCTTCGCTCATGTGGAGATGCATGTCCGGACATCCCAGTGACATCAAATTTTTGAATCTCTCGTTTTGTTTGTTTGTTTGTTTGTGCGTGCGTGCGTGTGTGTGTGTGTGTGTGAGTGTGTGTGCGCCGCCAATTGACATGGCTTTGTGTGGTGAGATGTGGGTGCTCGTCACAACATGCACTGCCGTGCAACCTGGAGTGGCTTGTGAGGTTTCGTCAATGTCTGTAAAGAAAGATCCCCTTACGGACTGGGCGTGGGCGTCCGGAATGTATCCCTCCCCCTGGTGTCTGCAGCAATCAGTCCCGCTGTGTGCCGCTGTGTTTGCAGCTCGAGTTGAACGTAACACAACAGCCCAGCCCAGCCCAGTCACCATCACAGCAATCACCCTGACGACCGTCCTTGAACGCTCTTGGTGTCTGTCGTGTTGTGTTGTGTCGTGTTGTCTTGTCTTGTCTTGTGTGTTGCGTCCCTCAGCTGTGAACGGGGCGACTGGGGCGGAGCTCGAGGTCAGGCTGCAGCAGGTCGCCGCCGCCTTCGCCCCCTTGCTGCACCACAAGAAGGACCTCCTCGACATCCACATCAAACAGGTAAATTGCACGCACCTCTCACTCACACGCGCACCCTCACAGCGAAACAAACACACAAACAGAGAGACCGAGAGATGTGTGCACGCAAGTGTTACATACGTCATTATTGAGTTCTTTATGGCTGCAGTGCGTGTGCAAGTGTGTGCGGCAGCAGCAGAATGGAGGCGGCGACGACTCCCCCTGTGCTGGCAGCAGCTGCAGCAAGAGCCGCAAGAAGCCAAAAAAGCCCAAGAACGACAAGACCACCAAGGTCAAGATCCCGCCGCTCACGAAGACGACGCTCTTCAAGCCGACCCCGAACAAGACCGACGCTGCCCCCCTGCGCCACCACCGGACAACGTCGTGCGTCAAGTTAGTGGCCAGGCCGCCACACACAGCACAGCACAGACAGACAGACAGACAGACAGAGAGAGACGATTGCTTGATTGATGGTGTGGATGGATGGATGGATGTCATGTGTGTCCATCAATTAATGCGTGCAGGCGGATGCAAGCGTGACGGCAACGGACGTGGGCGACTCTGAGAAGGACGCCAGGACCCCCCAGTTGGGCACGCCCAAGGACCACCACACACCTTCGCCCCCTGTCGGTGAGCGAGAGAATGACTGAGTCGGCCGCCCACCTACCCAGAGGGAGAGGGAGAGGGAGAGGGGGAGAGAGAGAGGGAAGGGCCATTCATTATGTCTCTCTTGTCATCCAACCGTTAATTCCCTCTCTGTGTGTGTGGGGGGTGCTGTTTGTGTGCCTTCAGGACCAGCACCCCCAGCACACCAGCAGCAGCCGCCGCCGCCCAGCCACCACACACACACTAGACGCGGTGAGTCGCGTCGCAGAGAGGAGAGAGAGAGAGAGGGCGGGCGGGCGGGCGGGCGGTGTGTGCGTTGAAGGCATCGCATCGCATCCATTTGTGGGCCTGCCTGGCTGCCTGGCTGCCTGGATGCTTGTGTGGTGGTTTGCATGTCTGTCTGTCTGTCTGTCTGTCTGTGCAGTCGTTGAGGTTGGACCACCCCGATCAAGATTGCCTGCGCCGGCCGGTGAGTGGAGTGAGCGGACGGGACGACTGTCTGTCCGACTGTCATGTTGTATGTATGTGTTTCTTCGTCCTTGTGTGTCTGTCCCACGGCTGGGGTGGCGGGCAGCGGTCAAGCTGGACCATCGGCTCGAGTTCCACGGGTGGGCATGCACATCGGCAAGGGCGGCTGCCACGTCAAGAAAGTCCAACACGACTTCGGGGTACGTGTGTACCTGGGTGGCGTCAGCGTCACGTCACGTCACACAACATACACATGCATGGCATGCCTTTCTGTGTGTGCGTGCGGCTGTGGTTGTCAGGTCAAGATCCACGTGATGCCGCCGCGCGACGGCAAGGCCAGGGTCCAGATGTTCGGCCCCTCCCAGGACAAACTCGAGGCTGCGCGGGCGGCATTCGAGTTTGTCAGGGAGGAGGTCATCATCAGCAAGGACGAGCTCATCTGGCTCAATCCCCCCCGCGACACCCCCAAGAAGCAGCAGCAGTACTACCACGGCAGGGGGCGGCTGAGCGGGCGTGAGGTGGCCGAGGCCACGGGCGTGTCATCCATGACGTAAGTAACATACGATACATATGTACAATACACAAGGAACACTTTGTCTTCTCTTCTCTCTGTGGATGGGTGGTGCGCAGATCGCTGCCTGCATTTTATATTCGATCGGCCGATGACGACTTCGAACCGCACTGCCTTGCTACATAGCCCTTTGCACATCGACGTGAGCTGCCGAAATACTCTATGCTGATCAAGTCGTGTGTACGTCTCTCGTGTCTGTGAATGCATGTCTACAGTACCTGCAGGTGGATGGCTGTCCATCTTAATCATATTTGTGGACTTATCCGCGTGCGATGATGCAATGAGTCTGTGCCCTGCCCGCCAGGTACGCAAGTGAGGGAGAAAGGAAGACGGTATAGGGACTTCCTCGTGTCTCTTCTCTTCTCTGTGCGTTAACGCATATTTTGGCCGCTGCGGCGGCCACCGAGAGGTATGTTGGTTGGCCAAGCTGCAGGACGACTACATATGGGCCGACGGAGCTCCAAGAGAAGACCCCACGACCAATCAGGTCTGTCTGATGCGCACGTCGATTTGTACCACACACAGCAAAGCACTTGTGTTGGTGTGGGGGTGCGGCTGCAGCTGTCCGATTTGCAGAAGCACTCCGACGATATCGACGCTGAGAAGAACACAAGAGTGCGCGTGTGCGGAAGTGTGTGGGTGTGTGTGCAGCTCCCTGAGTTGGTCAAGAGCTGGGAGGCATACGAGACATAGACACACACACGAGGGACGGGCAATGTGTGTGTGGGTGGGTGTGTAGACGAGACCATTGCCTTTGACGTGTATGTGTGTGTGTGCGCGGTGTTGCGTTCCATGGTCGGACCAGCAGTCATTTTCGTGTCATTTGTACGACGAAGCCACCCTGTGTTGTGTGTCCTCAGCTCATAGATATCATCCTCACAGCCACACAGACCAAACGTACCTCGATATAGACAGCCAGCCAGCCAGCAACACATGCGCTCATCCCAGAGAAAGAGACGGACCGACGCGCATCCATTTGCAGCACCCAGAGTCCGCGCACGCACGCACCCAGTCACAAATCACCTTTAAAAAACATCACACATCCAGCCCACCATCAAACCGATTGTGCCATTCAGACGGAGAGAGACAGACAGACGCTCAGAGAGAGAGAGAGAGAGAGAGAGAGAGGGGCTCGAGAGCCTCCTGTGTGTGGGCGTGGGCGACGATTGTGTTGTTTTGTGTGAGGGAAAGGAAAGTGGTTGCAGTCACCTGACTACTCTACCCGTCCGTCACCCACCCCCGGGCTGGCCGCTACTTGCGCTCTAAATAAAATATGACTTCTTCTTGCGTGGGCATCTGCCCTGCTTGTCGTCAAAAAAGCCCTTCTTGTCGGGGTGGCAGGGCTCACAGTAGCCGTAATTGCTACACATGCACTCCTGGGTGAAGCCTTGTCCCCAAGGGCCAGTGGCTTCATGGTATTTGTTGCAAATCCCGCCGATCATCTCGGGAGTGGCCACCCACGCGCCAGTCGCAGGGTCCTTGCGCCCGCACGGCTTCATAGTGAAGGCTTTAGTGGACCTGTTGCAGAAATCCGTCGTCGCGCCTGCATCCACACACACCACCCACACCACACACACACACACACATGGCGTTGGATGACTTCCAGGAAGCATAATTGCATACCGTGGTGCTGCTGCTGCTCTTCATGTCCGTATTCGCCGGTGAGGTGCATCTCGGCCCGCTGGATGGCGGCGAGTGCGGCCTCCTGCATGGTGAGTGCGGCCTCCCGCATGGTGAGGGAGCTCGTTATCATGCCCTTCAGATCTACCACCTCCTGCTCGATGAGCGTCAGCGCCGTAATTGAACGCACGAATGCAGGCGGCAAACCATGCAGGGCATTTGTGGGTGCTGTAGGTGGCACATGTACGTGCGGGCCTCATATATCTGCCCCTCACGCACGTAAGTACCTTCGCTGGCCTGGATCTCCTGAGTGCGGCCGAGAAACGACGCACCTGCACAAACAGAGGAAGCCAGAGAAACATGCCATCCATGGATCATTCCCGTTCGTGATAGATCTCGCCGCTCCATGGACCATTCACGTCAACGCCGCAGTCCTTCCCCTCCTCGCAGTCGGGGCCATAGCTCCCCTCGCCCACCCACATCTCTGTGGGCACACATCAGTCATTCATCAGTCATGCGGCCATCCATATGCACAAAAGAGGACCGAACTCACGCAGTATGGGCAGATCAGTCATGGTGGATGGTTGGTTCGGCGCCTGTGTGTCCCCCCTCTGCTTACGTCGGTCAGAGTTGCGCTGGGCTGCCACAGCGGCCAGGCCGACCACCAGGATGACGAGGCTGAAACAACGCGTCATCATCATCGCGGCCCAGCAAATCGCAGACGATGTGCTCACTCGGCGACTAAGAGGCGCGAGAGATTTCGCCGGAACTCGGGCGGCGGGAAAACAGGGGCCGACGCATGCATTTTGATCGGATCGCACCAATCACATTTGACGTCCCCAGATCGATTGCTGTGTGTCTGGGATAGAGCAGCAGGGATCCGCGTGTGACATGTGTGCGTCTGGCAGTGCGACGAAAAGGGCGCGCAGATTTGGCCAGCCCGGCGTCCTGGCCGTTCAGATTCACTTCGCCTGTCGTCCTGCCATATCTGTCTGCGCAACACGCGGGAGTGAGTACCTTCGCTACGGCTCCACACGGCAGCCTCCTGGCGGGATGCTGCATAGAACAAGAGAATGGACAGGAGTTTCATGGTGATCTACCCATCTGTGGGGTGTGTGTGTTGTCGCCCACCCTGAGCAAGCCCGTCAGCCAGCAACGCGAGGGACAGAAGCGACGAAACCATACGCAGCGCCATAATGTATTCGCTCGCGAGGGTCCCCGACACCCTCCGCAAAACCGCTGTGCAATATCCTGGCCGGCCACACCACGCCAGGGGATGAGGGGTCTGTCGTCCTCCACTGTTATTAAACACACTGTGGCAGCCGCACACGGTGTGGCCAGGGGGGAGGGGACGTGACCGGCAGATTCACGTCCCTGTCTCTGCCGTTCACGTCCCTGTCCCTTCTTTGCTTTTTTCTCTAGTGGCAGTGGCAGCGCTTAGGCGCCGCCATGCAGCAAGTCGCTCGCTGGTGAGTGTCAACTAAGTCATCACAGCGGAGACCACGCGCAAAAAACTCTCTGTTCTGTGCAGGAGCGGGCACGACGAGCCGCGTTTGGGCGGTGCACTCCAGTTTTCAGATGGAGGCGGCAGTCTGCATGGTCAGACCGAATGACTGCATTATTTATGGCACTCACTCACTGATCCGTTCCGTGTCGCGTGTGTTCTTCTTCCACACCATGCAGCACATGGACTCACACACAACACAAGTGTATGTCGTAGTGAGTGAGAAGGAGCCATGCAGACAGGACAGGGGCACACTTGGTGACCCACACGCCACGGCCACCAAGGCAGTGGGGTCAGACGAGAACCAGCGGCCCATATCGATACAGACACACACAGAATGAATGGCACACGAAAAACTGTGAGTGACTTCCTCTCTGCCAACTCTCTTCAAGACACACACAGACAGACAAAGCTCTCGCTTAAACGATCAAGGAAC